TTTTTTTTTTTTTTTGAAAAGTGCGAAGAAATGGTCAAAATTACTTTTTGATTTTTAAAAAACTCATTTTAGAAAAAATTTCAAAAACTTATAACATTTCATGGAGAAATATATTTTTAAAAAATTATGGACAAACGGGGCCTTAGTCCTGTAACCCAATGTTTGACAATATATACTAGCTTGCCTTCAGAATAAATAAAAAAAATAATCAATGATACTCGCCTTTCCATCATCAGGAATTGTAAGCGCAGTAAGGAGCAAAGAGTATCCAGTGAAAACTCCAATTTCAATAGTCTTCTTAGCATTTCCCACTTTCAAAAGCAGAGCTATCAATTGGCCAGCTTCTGATGCAGTTGCCATATTGAACCTGATCCATAAACAAAATTAAAATTGATAAGTTCTTAATTAAACACATTACTTGAAAAATTAACAGTCCAGTAGCCATTAATGCTCAATACATGTTTTTAAAGGATGATAGGTTAGATCTGATTAATTTGTTGTTTCAGCCAATCATAGTTCTTTAATCACGTTAACAAATCAAGGTAGAAGATTAGGTAGTCGAGCGTTGTCTTTGCGCATTACAGTAGCTTTAGTGCATTACTCAGTGTTAGTCTTGCCTTTTCTTATTCTTTGGATTTTCGTTATTACTTGTTTCTTTCACTTCGGTTTCTGATTGGTTTGCTTGTTGTTGTTTCTTCCTTTTATGCTTCCTAAGCTATGGGCAGTGGCAGAGTCATATGCACCCAAGAGGTGTCAATCGACACTCTTTTGTCGGAAAATTACACTATTTAACTTGGTAATTTTTTAAAAAAATATGTATATATACTATATAATGACACCCCTTGACTTCTTGGTGAGTTTGTTTCTTTATATTTTGACTCCCCTTAATAAAAATTCTGGCTCCGCCACTAACTGAGGGGTCTATCGAAAACAACCTCAATGCCTATAAATAAGGACAGAGGCGGATCTAGGATTTTTAGTACTTGGGTGCACTACTAAAAAAAGAGAAAAAAAATATATTTATTGGGATTTTATCTCTATACCTCGTTGTTAATAATTTAATATTCAACCAAGTGCATCATTCAACTTTCTTGGAGCATGGGTGCCAACAGTTAATATTATACCAATTTCAAAAAATATGTACATAAAATATCTAAGTTTAAGAAAAGACCATAAGTTCACGTGTCTCATGATTAAGCCTATTAATATGCCCCTAGATAAGGCAGGGGCGTATGCAGGAATTTTTGTAAGCGGTGTCGAAATTTATAGAAGAACTAGAATGTTACTTTGGTTATTATACTTTTAGACAATAAATAACCTTAGTTTATTGGCTTTGTTGAATCTTAAGTTAAAAAAGATTTTGAGTCCAATTCTACTTCATCACAATTTTTAACTACAAAGGCTCTCTCAAATATTTACAAAAGAAAAATGTGCTAGTTGAGGTTTGAACCTTTGATCTCTTAGAGCAAAAATCAAGCATAAACCAACACACCAAGATACAATTTATGTCAAGTGGTGTCATTTTTTCTTACTTATCCGTTTCCGTACAATATTAATACATATTTTTAGTAAAATTTTCCGACAAAGCGGTGTCGCAAATACCGCTTGAGAAAGTGTGCATCCGCCCCTGAGATAAGGGTAAGGTCTGCGTACACATTATCCTCCGCAGACCCGACTTGTGGGATTACATCGGAAAATAAAAAGTAAGAGAATGTACAGGGAAAGTACCGTGGATGATTTGCAGTTATAGCCCTCAGTTCTTTGAGAAGCTCTGATTCACGTGGATACACAGAAGTCTCCAGAAGGTACTTAGCAGAAAAAATGGATGATATATATAATACTAATAAGTTAACAAAAGAAATGAAATAGATGGGAAATATGCAGAAGAACAGTGAGTACCTTATGCAATTCAGGACTCTGCAACAATCCCTTCGTCATTGATGCCATTTCTTTTATTGAGACTTTATTGTAACCACAAAGAGACAGAGAGATTAAATTAATATTGAAGTATTGAATTAAAAGAATCAAAAGAAATTATTAAAGATGAAGAAAAATATGTTTGATTATGTTTAAGAATGAAGTCAAAATGGGTAAAAAGAGTTACTCTCTCAGTTAAAAAAAAAATATTATCTTAGTTAGACTTGACACAAACTTTAATGAAGAAAGGAAAACTTTGGAGATAATAAGTCATATTATTTGTGTGACTGTAAAATTTTTAAAACTCGAGATATGAAATATGCCATAACATATGTGTGGCTAGGGGTGTACATCGTTTTGGATTGGTTCGGTTTTTACCAAAATCAAACCAAACCAACTATATCGGTTTGGATTGGTTCGGTTTTGTCGGATTTTACGGGTTTTCGAATTTTTTTGTTACATGAATATTACTTCAATCTTACTTTGCTAAAATTATAGATAAAACTTTGATAAGTGAATACATGTTTAGTAAATATGGAAAAAATAAACAAACATATGATCTATTTAAATATTCTAATGGGAGAATTTTTTTAGTAATACATGATAGTTATTTTTTTAGTCATCCAACAATAATTTTTCGTTAATTTACGCTTTCAGGGTTAATACATGAGAGGATCTCAAATATTTCTACATTTTCTAAAGAAAAATCACTATAAACTCTTAAAAATATAAATAAAATTTATATATTTATATGTCGGTTTGGTTCGGATTTTTTTATTCAATACCAAACCAAGTCAAACTAAACCTAGTCGGGTTTTTTAATCGGTTTGATTTGGTTTGATTTTTCGGTTTGGTGTGATTTTCCGGTTCGATTTGAACACCCTTATGTGTGGCTATAAATGCGTCTTATTAAATAAATATTGAAAGATGTCAATCTTTTTGAAAGAGATTAATAAGAAGTCGGTCCTTTTCAAACAAAGCCAGTAAAACCAGACTTGCCACACTTTAGAAATAATATCACATGATTGAATGTTCATGTTGCAGATGTTTCATGTCAATGAACCAAAAAATCAAATAAATAATCAAGATTAAATTCTTAGAACCCAATACAACCAAAAAATCCTACCCAAAATCACAAAGAAAGAGGAAGAGAAGGATAATTTACCCCTAACCTTTTCAAAGCTTGATTTCACTAAAGAGGTGTAGAAAATGCAAAAGCAAGCATGGGTATTTATATTTCGCTAAAGACTTCTCAATTAAATGCAGTTTAGCATGAATTAAAAAAAAGGTCAATTTTTCTTTTTGTTTTTTCTTTCCTCAGAGATTTAACAAATATGAGTGAGATTACATTGTAATCTTATTTTGTCCTTTTTCCTCTTGAAAAAGTCTATTTTCATTTGCAACCTCATGAAATATCTGAAACTCTTGATGTAAAGGAAGTACCAAAAAGAAAAAATATATGTAATTTTGAGAGGCAATCATAAAAGTCGTCGTAAATTTATAAAGAGAAATAATAGGATGATACTAATTTAGATTTAATTTTTATTTTTCAGTTGAGATATAATCTATATCTATACTATATTAAAAGCACGAAGGCCCTTAGCGAAATGTCGTTCGCCTTTTTTATCCTTTAAAATTGGAGTTCACACTAGACAAAATAGTCATTTAATTATTCTCCTAATATTTAGTTCTTGAAATTGACTAAAATTTTTGTTATTAAATTATTTTCCATTGAACTAGGTAGGAAACCCTAAAATTTAGGACTTTAAAGTCAATTAAAACTTTACTTAACTTAAATATTTTCCTTATTTGAATTATATATGTCACATAATTATAATTCTTACATGTTGCTTTCATGGATATATATTCTGTGGAAAAAAAAATAACGTGTGTTTTAAATAAAATTAAAGTAAATAACTGATCCATCAATTTTATGCCTAATATTTAAAAAGGCACGTAAGAAATAGTGCATTTAAGTCATAGTTTTGATTTAAAAAAAATGAAAACATTAATGATAATTCATATTAAGGTGGCATGAATTTAGACTTTAAAAAGCAATTGTGACATTCTATTTTCTTTTAACAATAAGGACGTAGAATTTGAAATATACTTACAAGTTTTGTCCATTTTTATTGTCTAAATATTAAGAAATAATCAAATGATAATCTTTTTTAAATGTGACATTATTTTAAATGGTAGAATAAGTTAATCAATATATATTTTGTACACAAAAATAGGAATATAAAAAGAACATATATATGTAATTGGTCGCGAGTAAAAGTACTTTAGAAAGAAATTTTAGGTAAAATAAGATAATAATTGAGCAAAAAATATATATAAAAATTGTTAATAATAATCGAGTTCGGATGCCTATATGATTAATAAGTTATTAATAGAATAAGGTTACAGCTTTAGCAGTACCGTAAAATGAGTAAAGATAAACAAAAATTAATTGTTGGTAAACTATTTTACATAAATTTTTTAATAAGTAACATGAAATATACATGCAATGTACGTACCCAAGTCCTCAAGTAAAGTTGAATGATTTTTTTACCTTTCAATCAAACGCTACTCCTATAACTTTTTTTGTACAATAAAGCAAGCAAGAGAAACTACTGAAGGAAGAACTATTAGACTACATCAAACTCCTAAGGAAGAACTACTCTTAATTTTATATAATAACATAAACATATTTTTGAATACTATTTATTTTATTTATAAAATTTTACTTTTCATTAACACGAGGGACACGCGCAACGCGCGTATGTTAAAACTAGTACTTATAAACAACGTAACGCACATTTGGGTTAACTCATCCATCGAAGCACAAAAATAAAAATCCTCATGAAATAACTACTTGGTGTAATCAGGGCTGATAGCATGATTTTAAAAGGATGGGTCACTAGTTCCTCCGTTATAGTAAAAATTGCGTAGGGTAGCCTCTTTTTAAAGTGGTATTTACTTTTATCTGCATTTTTAATGCTGAGCAAAAGTAACTACTAGTCTATTAAAATTAATATGAAAAGACAGTGTACCCTTTCTTCTATCTCTTTTCCTTCCCAAACCCTCTATCAAAATTTTCAAAACCTTTTCTCCCGATCAAACTTTCCCAAACTCCTCTCCTCTCATTACCAAGAGAACGACAGGCACCTCAACATCAACATACTACTTGCAAGGTAAAATGGCAAAATTGAATTTTTCACAATCTGTGGACTGAAAATTCGATATAGTTATATCATAAATAATTTTTCCTACAAAAAGTTTAAAGATAGCTAGCCCCTTTCCCGTGAACACTTTATTCGCATTTATAGGTTCAACAAAATCAATCTATCTAAATCAGGCAGATTTCAACTTGGCAGATGTGCACGCCAGATGTGAGAGGGTTCTGTGTCCGACGAATAGTAAGAAGATCCCCAAGAATCCAAGCGTTCTCAGTGTGTGGAACAGATTCCACTGCAAGCAGATAGGCAAACAAATATGTTGAATTAGCACGCAAAGACTATGTCTCTGTTCAAAAGTTAAGGATACTTGGTCCTGAATTTAAGATTACAAGTTCAAAAGTTAAGGACACTTGGTCCTGAACTTAGACTAACAAGCTCAAAAGTTAAGGACACTTGGTCCTGAACTTAGACTAACAAGCTCAAAAGTTAAGGACAATAAATCCTGAACTTAGGCTAAGAAACCAAAAAGTTAAGACAATAGGTCCTGAACTTAGACTAACAAACTCAAAAGAAGGACAATAGGTCTTGAACTTAGACTAACAAGCTCAAAAGTTAAGGACACTTGGTCCTGAACTTACAGTTACAAGTTCAAAAGTTAAGGACACTTGGTCCAAAACTTAGACTAACGAGTTCAAAAGTTATGGACAATAGGTCCTGAACTTAGACTTACAAGTTCAAAAGTTAAGGACAAGTAGTCCTTAACTTAGAGTTACAAGCACAGAACTAAAGGATAGGTGGTCCTGAACTTCGAGTTCCAAGTTCAACAGTTAATGACATGTAGTCCTGAAGTCCTCAACTTAGAGTTGCAAGTTCAAAAGTTAAAGACATGTAGTCCTGAAGTCCTGAACTTAGAATTGCAAGTTCAAAAGTTAAGGACACTTAGTCTTGAACTTTTATGAGCATAAGGGTGTTTTCATCCGGGCAGGTAAAGTTTATTAAAGCAGTGGCTAAAAACTAAAGACATTTTAAAAAAGTGGCTTAAAAGTAAATACATGTGTTATTAGTGGCTTATCGTGCACTTCCCCCTCCGTTATATACTCCCTCTATTTCAATTTAGACGACACATTTTTTTATTAGTCTGTTTCAAAAAGAATGATATATTTCTATAATTGGAAAGGCGAAATGGCTCCCTAAGCACTTAAACTTGTTGGGTTTTTTAAAGCCGATACATAAACTTATAACTTTGCCATTTGAACACTCGAACTCATTTTTTTCATAACTAATAAACACATCTGACTATTGACCATGTGCGCGTGTATTACACATACACATACGTGTTCATCCAGTCAACAAATGACCAATGGATGTCTTACACGTAAGGGCGCGAAAAGTCAAGCATCAACTCCTTCTCTTTGACTGCTTTAGCGTTTTTCTTCATCAACAATGGCTATCTACTTTTCATTATTTTGTTTCACAGGTGGCTCAGCTTGATCCTTTTCCATGTTACTCTTTCGTTCCTCTTCCTTCTTTTCTTCCAGCTTTTTTATTTCAAGGATTCAATAGTTAACAAGATAGTGCCCTAATTTCCTACAATGTTTGCAGAATTTGGGTATGTCTTAATATTCAATGCGCTGAACGAATCTTTAAGAGGCAAATCATCATCTTCATCTCCAACCCAAACATTGGCGATTAAAGGTTTGAGTAAATCAATTTCCACGCTTACCTCCGCCATACTAGGTATGTTCATAGTTTTGGTCGCCACATCAAGCTCCAATGGAGTCNGAGTAAATCAATTTTCATGCTTACCTTCGCCATACTAGGTATGTTCATAGTTTGGTCGCCACATCAAGCTTCAATGGAGTCCCTACTTCTTCAAGAATATGTTTGACATAAGACCAGTTATGCATATGAAATAGTAATCTGAGCAGCAGGACTCAGACATGATCTATTGGTAGGTAGGTCTTCTTCAGGCTTAAATTTTGGATTCCACTTCTGCAACTACATTTGCAGACCTTCAATTTCAATCACCCGCTTATATAGAACAAAATTGTAATCTTCATCATTAGTGAAGCTGAGAAACACATTTAATTTATCATAAACTCCAATTCTTGCAGATCCCTTCAAAGGAATTTTTTTAGAGAATCTTGACCTATAATTCGGAGTTGGGTCTTCAGAAATCGACCAACAATTGTCCTCTTACATTGAACCGCCATGATGACATAGTAGTCTCTTGTTTTGAAGATCACTGTCGGCATGCCGTTGTGTGTCGTCTTTCTAGCTTGGAATTTCAGAGAGAATCCGAACATCCGAGTTCCTCCACAGGGTTGTTACCATCACCTTGAACATCCAGAAGGAGTACGGAAAGCTTTTGAAGGATTTCAATCAACGAACTTGGAAGGGGAAGTTATGGGGAAGTTCAAAACTTAGCTTCAACTCTACAATGATAAAATATACAACTTTCCACCATTTTCACGGTCTGAAAAATGAAAAAAAAATTGAAAATGAAGCTTCAGATTTTTAAAAATGGAGGAAGGGGGTATTTTGTACTGTTGGGCGTTGGGAATGGGGTTTTCACGCTCATGTGCGTCGTGTTCCTCACGCGGGCTGCTGATTAGGACCAACTGACGCCACATGGGCATGGTCAATGGTCAAATGTGTTTATTAGTTATGGAAAAAACGAGTTCGAGTGTTCAAATGGGAAAGTTATAAGTTTATGTATCGGCTATTAAAACCCGACAAGTTTAAGTGGCCAGGAAGCCATTTCGCCAATTGAAAATAATTCAACTTTAAACTCTTCATTTTACCAATTTTACCCTTAATGAGAGGCTTTTATAACCGGACAAATGTCATGGCCCACAAAGATTTTACCCCTTAAGTTTTTAAGACCACACATTTTAAAAGTCCTTTTTTTTTTCTAAAACTCCGTGACGAGTTAAACTACATTATCTAAATTGAAACGAGTAGAATTTAATGGTGACGAACATTAAACGTTAACTATAATTGGTTGATACTATATGAATACGATATTATCAAGAATGCTAATAACGAATATGGATTAGACTTCGAAGAAGGAAAAAAAGAAAAGTACCTTTTTAAAATTTCTTTTGGGAATTTGAAACCATTATTAGATTTCATCTAATCTCATTTGAAATTATTCCAAAATATAGTTACAAATAATTTGTATTTACTCTATTTGGTAATAACCAGATATTACTCTTTATTTTATTTTCATTAAAATAATTATATGTCAATCCAAATATTTACTCGGAATTATTTTCAAGATATTATGCCTTAGATGCTTTTATTCTGTATTGTATTTATTAACATGTAATGGATGTTTTTGACATTGGGATTCTATCTAGTCACCTATATTTTGGATTTATTGGTGTCAAAGTCGTTATAATATTTTAATGAACCCTCGGCCAAATGTTAATCAACTGGTCCAACAAAAGTTGTGACAGGCAAATAAGGATTGTGATATTTTATACTTCAACATCACACGAGAAGGGGTGATTTATATGGTGTTTAATTTTTCACGCGCGCAAATCATAGAAGGACCTGATTTTTCTATGTGTTCTTTACATTACAGTTGCGGAATAATAAATGCAGGCAGTAAAGAACACAAGTATTTTTTATGTGAAAAACACATGGCTCAAAAGGTGAAAAACCACGACCTACTTCCCAATAGGATTTTTTCCCAATACTCCATTAAATCACTGAGCTAAAAACAACATTTACAAAACTCTTGTAAACCTAAGGATTACCTCTAACTATTTGTGGCAACCAGCCTCAGGCTGTTGCGACAACTTCAAGTTCACTCTAACTTGAAAAATAAAACTTAGAGTACCTAGTACAAATGCTTCTAGAGAAAGCTGAAAGATACAACTCAAAAGCCCTACTACAATTGAACTAGAATAAAAGACATACACTTGGATCTGGTTCTTCTATCTAGTTCATATAGCTTCAGGTTCGCATACTAGAAACACACAGGAATTGCTTACAAAATGCCTTGCTATTTTGCTCTTATTTCTTGCTTAACTTCAGCGTTTGTGCGTCACCTGTAAAAGAGAACATCCTGAAATATATAGAGTTAGTATAATAGGACTAACTAGAGTTCTAATGATATGCTCTTCCTTGGTGGAAGAGCTCTAGTTATCTTCAACTTCTAACTACTCCCTTATCTAGGACAGAGTTCTCTTCAAGTAAGGAGTCCTGCTCCTATCAATTATGCAACATTTTTCATTTAGGAGATATCAGGTATAACCACTTATGCTTATCTCCTTTACATGTATGCCTTGTGCTTGAATTTACCCGTGCCCTGTGTACACTGTGTATGGACCTGGTTCATTGCATGTATTCCTTTATCAATCATAAAAACAAACTTACTCAGGGCAACAAATTTCCCCTCTTTGATGGTGACAAACTCTATGTTTTTCATAAGCATGAAACCTATTTCAGTTCAGCTCAACATCAATACAATGTTAGAGCACTTTCTATTTTAAAGTCACAAATCATCAAAGACTGGGTTCATTAGGTTATAAACATCACAGTCCAAAGCAAACGCCCAACCTATATTCCTCATTTTGGCATCATCAAAAAGTTACATAATTAAGTTATATAACTAGATTATAGCAGATCTTACTCATGGTCACTAAGGCTACTTCAAATACAATCATGGATTCAAGTAACACTTCTACGGATATTAGCCATCTAAGAAATATCAACAAACAATTAGAGCAAAAAGTAGTGATTATCATTGATACGAGTCAACCATAAAGCATAGAAGGAAATAAAAGTACTACACCATGAGCAAAAAGAAAAAAAAACATCCTATTCGGATCACTGGTTTTTAAAACTAGGCTAGGGAGATTTTAAGGCTAGGAAGGACTAGGTTCTTGGTTTCTAGCCAGAAGTAGCTTCAACATGTCATGAAGAATGCCATAATTCTTCACTTTCTCCTTTGCAAGCTCATACCTGAAAGCATCCCTCTCAGTTTCTACTTCAGCCAGTCTCTTCTTCAACCTCTCAATTTTATCATCCTTAGCCCCACTCACTTGCATCAAGGCTTTCACTTTGCTATTCACAGGCACTTTCTTGGATGAACCAAGTTCTTTGGGAACAATAAAGACTTCATAGTCACAGGCAACTAAAGTATTGGTCCCAAAGTGATCTTTACTTGTGCTAACATCCCATTTCTTGAGGGGAACCTTGAAGTGATCAAGCACAACAGTGAGTAATAATCCATAGGGCACGACATGAGTTTTAGTGACAGAAAGTACCTTACCAAGGAGTTTGATTATAAACCCTATCCAGTTGATCTGCCTCCCATTATCTAGGCACTCCATGAGGACCAGGTCTATGAAAGTTGCAATGTGCCTTCTTTCTTGCCTGGGCAAAACAACCTTGTTGACAAATTCAAATAGCACATTATGGGCAGACTTCATTTCACTCTTATAAACAGCCCTGGGATGTAGATCTAAGTCCCTGTCAACAAATTTCTTAGTGATGGCAAGTGAGGTAGGTAGATTTTCAAGTCTTGGCCATTTTAACTTCTTGTAATCATTGTACCCTTCAGCAGGTACCCCTGGAATTTCTCCTAGTTCTTTGTCGTCAAAGCTCACTTTCACCCCTTTCACTACACTGGCTACTCTTCCACTCTTGATTTCACAATTTGCCAAGAACTCCACAATTTTAGCTCGGGCTAATTTTCCTTCCAACTGAAGGACCATGTCCTTCTAGCCTTGAAATTCTAGCTTTTCCAGCAGCAGCACCATTCCTTCCTCCTCCAAATCTCTAAGGAGTCTACCCTTCAAAATTATTCTTTTGCCAAATTTCACCATATTGTCATGTTCTTCATCGGTTTTCTCTTTGTCCTCACTCTCTTCTTCCACTACTTGCACTTTTCTTGATTTCCTTGTAGAAGTGGTTCTCTTTGCCAAGGTATATGGTTCTGTATCAACAAATTTGCAGAGGACTTCTTTTTTGAAGTCTTTCTTTTCTTTGTTTTTGGAGTCACAACCTCCACCTCTTCTGCCTCGCCCTCATCATGAAGGACCGGGTCTATCTCCTTAATATTAATATTTTTAACTGGTTCACCCACTTTATTCTTTCCCTTTTCAGCAACTTTCCTTTTGCTCTCAACTAAGGCCTTTTCGAGATTAGCCTCACTTTGCTTCCTTTGACTCCTTGTAGCTCTTCCTCTTGTGGGAGGAGTCTTTACATGGATAGAAGAGACAACATTTCTCTACTTTCTCTTTTTGCCTCCCATAGTAGTTCCAGAGATTTTAACTCTGAGCTTTTCTTCTTCTTTGGATTCAACTATCAGACACCCTTTTTAGTAGGTCTTGGAGGGGTTCATTCATATATGTAATAGGTTCTTGTAACCTCTTCCTCAACCTAACCAGCCCCTCCGCTGGACTTTCATCTCCAGTCATGCTGCCTCCTTCTTTTCTCTATAACTCACTTCCTCCTCAACAGCTTCCTCACTCCATATCACCATTACCTCTATTTCTTCAGTCAAACCAATAGGAGTGGGTGAGGATTCAACCACTACTTCTTCTCCCTTTCCCTTGACATCTTCTTTAACATCCTCACTTTATTTTTTTTTTTATTTTTTTTTATATTTTTATTTTTACCACCAATTTTACCAGACTCGATAGTATCCATACCAGCAATAGTAGCAACAAGAACAAATATGTTTTCTAGACTTTCAGCCACATCAAAAATTACATCATACGTAATATTTAGCCCAGAAGTTACTTATTCTGTTGCAGACGAAACAGGTTTTCCCCCTCAGTTTGAGACTTGAAAGATTCTTCTGATTTTTGGGGTTCCTCTACTTGACTGGCTTTTAATTTCTCATTTAATTTCTTGGATAGTTCACTACCGGCCACTTTTTTACGAGCACGCATCTTTACTCATCCTTTCTTGGAGGTAAGGGTGGTTGAAGGTGTGGGTGATGGTTCTTTGGGTGGTGAAGAAGGATTTTCAGAAGGGTTTGCCATTTGATAAGTGTAGAAGAGAAATAAGAAGGTTGAAAGAATTTTTCTTTTTAGAGTCTTGAATTTTCTTCAAATATTAGAAGTGAAGAAATGATTAAAGTCTAGTCGAATTAAAGAAGGAGAGTTGGAGTGGGTAGAGACTACTTTTTGAAGTTCAGAAGTCTAATCAATCTGGGAAAGTCAGTTTGAATAGACGTTGGACTCTTCCCTAGATTCTAGGCAATTATGGTGCATGGGACTCTTTTGGTGAAACTAGTTCGTTTGTAACAGATAGGCTTGAAGGAGATTGAGATTAAATGGGACTCCATTTTAATCATGTTCCAATTATAGTTATTTCAGAATATGCGAAGTGGAGAATACATACCCTGTAATCTTGATGAATCAGGTTTTTCACTGAGATTTCTCTTGTGTAAGTTTGAGTTTTTCCAAGAAAATAGGATAATACCAGTAGAGATTAGTGAGATATTTTAGCACATGGCACAAGAGTATACTGATAAAAGCATGAGACTGAGCAAAATCTAATCTAGTTATTTGCAAAATTTATAAATTATCTGATCAATTATTGAGTTAGAACTCATTTCTTTAGGTGATCTTAATCATCTCTAACACTAACATGTTCCTTTCAAAGTGATATCTACTTAGAGCTTTGTGAAGATGTCAGTAATTTGTTTGTCAGTAGCAAAAAATTCCACATTAATCAAACCTTTCTTATAGTTGTCCCTAAAAAAGTGATGTCTAATATCTATGTGCTTAGTTCTTTTGTGATGAACCGGGTTCTTGGTCATACTAATTGCACTAGTGTTATACAAACATTAGGGATACAAACTTACATCAATTTTAAAGTCCATTAATTGCTGTTTGATCCACAAAAATTGAGCACAACATGAGGCAGCGACCACATACTTAGCTTCATCAGTAGACAATGCCACAAAATTTTACTTTTTGGTGGCCTAAGACACAAGACATGAACCAAAAAAGTGTGATATACTTGAAGTTCTTATTCTATCAACAAGAAAACCTGCATAATCAGTATCAACATATCCCACTAAGTTGAAAATACTACCTTTTGGATATCATAAGCATAAATCAGTGGTGCCTTTCAGGTATCCCAAGATCCTCTTGATAGCAGTCAAGTGAGACACCTTTGGATTTGCCTAGAATCTAGCACAAAATCCTGCACTAAAAATAATGTCAGGTCTACTAGCAGTGAGATATAACAAGGAGCGAATAATGCTCCTATATATCTTCTTATCAACGGATGAACCAAGTTCATCCAAGTCCAATTTTGTGGTTGTTGCTATAGGAGTGTCAATTTCTTTGGAATCTTCTATTTTAAACCTTTTAAGCAATTCTTTCACATACTTCTGCTGACGGATCATAATTCCATTTGAATTTTGTTTCATTAGCTTAGCAAATTATTTACTTAACCTGTCTTTAGTTGCTCCAAAGATTATATCATCAACATATATTTGAACTACCTAGAGATCTTTACCTTTTTCTTTCAAGAACAAACTATTGTCAATTTTACCTTTCTTGTAGCATGATCGAGCAAGAACTTAGATAGTTTTTCATACCATGCTCTTGGAGCGTACTTGAACCCATAAAGTGCCTCGTCAAGCTTGTACACATGATCAGGACATTCCTTGCTCTCAAAGATAGGAGGTTGCTTGGCCAGCACTTCTTCTTTTAGATAGCCATTGAGGAAGGCATTCTTGACATTCATCTAATCGAGAGTAAATTCCATGTAATCACCAAAGGCTATTAGGAGTCTAACTGCCTCCAATCTTGCAACCGGAGCAAAAGTTTCATCATAGTCTATGCCCACCCTCTTGACTATATCATTGAACCACCAATCTTGTCTTGTTCCTTGTAATTGTTCTATCTTCATCAAGTTTATTTCTGAAGATCCATTTAGTGACAATCACTGATATGTACTTGGGTCTTGGTACCAGATGCTGAACTTGACTTCTCTCAAATTGGTTGAGTTCATCTTAAATTGGATTCACCCAATCTGCATCGTGCAAAACCTCATAAACATTTTTAGGTTCAATAAGAGATAGAAAATCATCAAAAGAATAGAGGTTCTTCAAGGAAGATTTGGTTTTGATTCCAGAGGTTGGATCAGTAATTATGTTCCCAATGAGATGAGAACTTTGATACTTGTACGCCTTTACAACTAACTGGTTTCCTCTAGATGTTCCTTTAATGTTTTGTTGCTGAGGAACAAGTTCATGGATAGGTTCCCTCTAGGTTTGAGGATCAGTTCCTCTATGTTCAGTTCCCCATGTCATGTTGCCCTGGGTGGAAGGACATGTTCCATCATCTGTTCCTTCCCATGGTGCAGCTTCAAGCTGGGCTGTGGTTTTATTTGAGTTTCTTACTAGCCCAATTGTTTCTTCATCTTGTTCTCGCCTCTTAGAAAGAATGTTAGTTTCATAAAAAATAACATGTACACTTTCTTCTACACACAAAATTCTTTTGTTATAAATCTTATAAGCTTTACTATATGAAGAATATCCCAAGAACACTCCCTCATCACTTCTAGGATCAAACTTAACTAAGGAGTCTTTTTCCATTATTGTGCACAAAAAACTTGCATCCAAATGCCCTAAGGTGGGAGTCTTCTCAACAAGTGGTCTATTCATGCACCTATTTATGACGTAACATGCAGTGTTCACAACTTCTACCCAGAAGCTATGAGGCAATTACTAGTAAGTAGCATAATCCTAGCCATATCTTCCAATGTCCTATTCTTTCTTGCAACTACTCCATTTTGTTTTGGAGTTCTAAAGAGCAGAAAAAATATGATATATCCATACTCATCACAAAATTCAACAAATTTAGCATTCTCAAATTTAGTACCATGAATATACTTAATTGATGCAAGTTGATTACCTTGTTGTTTCAGAGTTTTTCTAACAAATAAAGTGAACATGTCAAATTCTTTATCTTTAGATGTTAATAACAGTATCCAAGTAAACCTAGAATAATCATAAACAAGCGCCATAATTATCTCTTACCACTTCTGCTCAATGTTCTCATTAGTCCACGTAGATCCATATGGACTAGTGCCATCGTCCTGGTAGGACTTACCATTTTCTTGCTTTTTAAAAGAGAATTTTACCTACTTCTCCCTTACACAAGCCTCACAAACTTCATCTTCCTTGAACTTAATATTATGTAGCCATATCACCAAGTTCTTGAAGACTAGTTTGTTGAGTTGATTTAGACCGGCATGTCCAAGTCTATTGTTCCAAAAGAGGGGATAATTGTCCAACACACTTAAGAAGGTGAGTTCATTATTTGAAAGTGTGGACAGATCCACCGCATATATGTTATTCACTCTTTTTTCCTGCAAAACTATCTTGTCAGTGGTAAGATTAATCACAAAGCATTTTGTAGAGGTGAAGGCCACCATGTTACCTCTATCACACAATTGTGATACACTTATTAGAATGTACTTCAGTCCATCTATCAAGTAAAAATTCTCAATAGAGTGAGAATCAATCTTAGCTACTTTTTCAACCCCAATGATCTCACCTTTCTTTCTATTTCCAAAGGAGACATTACCTTCTTTAAGGTCCTCAAGTGAAAGGAACTGGTTCTTGCTTCCTGTCATGTGCTTTAAGCAGCCATTATCCATGTACCATATTTGGCTACTCCCCTTCACTTGGACCTGCAAAAAGAAATTAAGGTTAGTCTTAGGAACCAAAACTAGTTTAGGTCCCTTTCTATAGGCAAAAGGATAAATCAAATTCTTTTTAGCCCAACTTAGAAGCGTATTTTTCGTTAGAACAAAATTATTGTTCTTTTGATCTGTATTTTCTTTTGCAGTATAATCACTCTAACAGTGACCAGTATTTCCACAGTGTGTGAAAATTCTATTCTCAGGGAGTGTGAGGTACTTGTTGTTGGGATCTCACATAGGTGCAAAGTTCTCAAAGCCAAGTCCTCTTTTGTTGCTACTATGATGTTCTTGTAGCCATGAAAGTGCATCAGAGAACCTATTCCATTTACAAGTTCTGTCTAGCTTATACTTGACCTTGTTCAGATCCTCCTTTAAGATTCTTACCTATTCATCCCTTTTACAACTCATCTTTCAGTTTACCTACATTCTCTTCTAAAGTGAGTTGTGTGTCACCAGCTATCTTTTTACCTGCTCCTAATTTCAATTTTACATTTTCATATCTAAGTCCTAGGATAGTTGTTTTTAGTGCATGAACCTGGTTCTTCAACATAGTATTTCACTTTCAATTTCACAAGCCCTAAGTTCCAGATTTTTGCACATAAATTTCAAAATCACACATTCTTTTGACAGTTGTTCTTTTTCATTATTCACATGCTCATATTCATCAATCAGCTCTAGTAATAATTTAGATAATATTTCTTTAGACAAAAATTTATTCTTGTCTTTGAGATGAAATACACTTATCTCAATTTCTTCATCAGATTCTCCAGTACCTATTAGTGCTCGTTCATCAGCATCATCATCGTTTGAGCTATCTTCCAAAGAGCAACCATAGCCTTGGTTGATCCTTTATTGTTACCTTTTTTGGGATGAACTTGTTCCTTCTTCTTGTTCCTTCGTTCAACTCTTTCCTTCTTCCACTCAATTTCCCACAAAGAATAGTTCTTGATCATGTGATCATTCTTCCCGAACTTGTAGCAACCATCATTGGTTTGCTTCTTCTGAGCTCTTGCCTTTCTGTAGTTTTCACTTCTTGAAGAACTCTTTCCTCTCCTTAGGTACTTCTTGAAGTCTTTTATGATCATTGCTATTTAATTATCTTCTAGATCAGAACCTTCAGTGATTCTAAGTGTCAAACTCCTTTCCTTATTAGGTATACCCATTTTCATGGTTTGTCCCTAAGTTCATAAGCAGTGAGATTTCCAATAAACTCATCTAGAGCGAGTGTAGCAATATTTTTTGATTCCTGAATAGCAGTGATCTTGCTTTTCTAAGTAATTGGCAAGACCCTAGTAAGTATCTTCTCAATTCTTTCTTCTTCAGGAATAATCCTGCCAAGAGATTTTAGTTCATTTGTCAATGTGATGAACCTTATGTACATCCCCTGAATGGTTTCTCCATCTTTTATAGCAAAGTTTTTGTACTGAAAGTACAGTAGAGTTCCTTTTGATCTCTTTACCTGAGTTGTTCCTTCATAGGCCACTTGCAGTGTGCCCCAAATTTGCTTATCAGTGGAACAACCTTGGATTCTGCTGTACTCATCTAGACCAAGTCCATAAACAAGCAATTTCTTAGCTTTGGCTTTCTTTTCTCATTTCTTCAAATCCTCAGCATAACAATCAACTCTTATCTTTTGCACATCTACTCCTTCAATATTTTTCTTCAAAGTAGCTAGGGACCATTAGTGATAATGTCCCATAGGTCATAGTCCTCTCCCTGTATGTGATCCCTCATCCTTGACTTCCACCAAGAGTAGTACCGGCCGTTAAAGAGTGGTAGCCTCGTTGTGGATTGCCCTTCCCAATTTTCAGGTGGTGCACTCATCTTGATCTTCTCCTATGGTGTTATCTTCAAGGATAACTCGCTCTGATACCAGTTGATGTTTTATACTTCAATACCATACAAGATGAGGGGAAATAATTTGTGTCGTGTCCACTATTTTGCGTGCACAGATTATAGAAGGACCTGGTTCTTCTATGTAATTCTTATACTACATTTGCAAAATAATAAATGCAGAAAGTAAAGAACATAAGTATTTTTTACGTGAAAAACACCTGGCTCAAAAGTTGAAAAAACCACGACCTACTTCCTAGTAGGATTTTACCAACACTCCACTAAATCACTGAGCCAAAAACAACGCTTACAAAACTCTTGTAAACCTAAGGATTGCCTCTAATCCTTTGTGACAACCAGCCTCAGGCTGTTGCGACAACTTCAAGTTAACTCTAACTTGAATAATACAACTCAGAGTACCTAGTACAAATGTTTCTAGAGAAAGCTGAAAGGAAAAACTCAAAAGCCCTACTACAATTGAACTAGAATAAAAGATGGATACTTCGATCTAGTTCTTCTATCTGGTTCATGTAACTTCATGTTTGCACACTGGAAACACACAAGAATTGCTGAGGACAAACGGTTATTTTAGAGGTGGAGAATGCAATTACCCAAAAGGTCATCACGGTCATCACTCGTTTTAAAAGTAAATTTTGTGTTCCGAGGCCTTAAAAACCTCTTTTTGTCTCACCTCGATTTGTTTGCGCAGTCCGGGCGCGTTTTCAAAAAGCTTTTATGTGAAATCTAAGTAAAATAAGGAAATTGGCCTTTAAAATTAATTAAAGTTGACTTTGGTCAACATTCTTGGTAAGCGGATCCAGACTCGGACCCGTGATCCGACAGTCTCATACAGTCCATGTAAAATATGGGACTTGGGCGTATGCCTAGAATCGAATTCCGACGTCCCAAGCTCGAGAAAATAATTTTTAAAGAAAATTATTTGCTGGAAAATATAAAGGCTTTTAGGAGTGAATTGATGCAATTTCTTGATGGTATCGGTCCCGTATCTTGGTCCCGAAGTCCGGTATAAATTTAAAATAATAATCTGGTTGAATCTGCGGTATTTGGTAAGAATCGGAGTTCGTTTGGTATAAAACGGACCTATAGTTGAGAAAATAGAAATTTAAATGTTCTTGAGTGATTTCATGAATTTGAGGTTTAATTCATAGTTGTTGATGTTATTTTGATGATTTAATCGCACG